AATTATATTAAATAAACATAACTATATATAAAATTACATCTAAACGTATGTACATTTCGTTTCAAAGACGGGAGGACAGTAAATTTTGAAGACTCCGCCATAATCCCGTTTTCCTCTGTGTTCCTCCGCTTTAATCTCCGCAACCGGAAATGGACAAGCATCCTTGCGTCAAATGCGGAACTTATGCGTGCATATAGCCCATTGTGTCAAGAGGAGGCCTCCAATGAGGCTGTCCCAGGTCTCGCAGTAACATAATCCGTCCTTGGCGGTTGGTCTTCAAAGGCAGAAACGATAATCAGCGTGCCATCATGTTTCTGAGTGTATTTGAGATAGTCTGGATTCAGTATGCAGGAAAATTGAAGTGTTTGGATGCAAAAACGACAAAAATCATCTTTTATTACTGTCAAGCAAACTTTTATCGATTTTGCACAGCTGCGTGATTCCACGCTGGCTTTTGTCTCCCCCTTCACACTCATGGGCTCGGCGTGAATAAATAGCGCCACCAATCCCACAGTCTTCATCTCTGCTCCCTCACTCCTCCTCCTCCTTCTTTTTCAATCCTTCAAAGCACCACTGAGCAGAATAAAGGATTGGAGAGGAGCAGAAGCACACCTCGAGTCACGGCCACAATGCATTCCCAGCGTCGATTTTCAAGCCTTTTAACAAAGAAATTGAAAAAAGCAATTGTCTTGACGCACTTTTAGGTCTCACTGCTTTGATTCCAGGTAATTGATGTTGTTCTTTTCAACATCACACAACATAGACTCTGACAATTGTGTGGCAATCTGTCAGGCTTATGGGAGACTGAGAAGAGAAACTCTTTAAGGCGACACTTTACGAGGCTTCAACGAAATTCAATGTAATATAAACAGACTAATAATAAAGTCTGAACAGAATCTCAAGAAGTGCCTTGTGATTCATAGTTCGCTGGACAGTTCCTGACTTAGTATAGCAAGTTTGCAGTTTGAGTAAAACTGATTAAGTATTAATAAAATAATAAAAACTCGACTTCTTGAAATATATCATTTATTGACAGCTGCTTCGTGTGACGAATTTGAGCTATAACCTAACACGGGTGAATATTTTTTTCAGGTTTATTTTCTACTCTCTTATGTTCTTCCCCAAAGCCTGTCAATCACGACACCATGGTGACTCCTATAAAAGTACATCAGTTGCTCTAAAGACCTAAGAAAGGTTTCCATGGCAAGGAGATTAGACTTGCGAGGAGGTATTTTGAAGCTTTCCTTGCATTTTTCTCCACTGACGGGAAATTTGTGAAGTGATTTCATTGCGTCTAGTCTTTAGATTAAGGTCAGGAAGATGTCATTTATACAGGGTAGACTGATTAGATGAAAAAAGATTATGGAAGGTAAAATTACACCAAAGGATATGTGAAGTTAGGCATCAGGGTTGATATCAACACACACACACATGCACAATCATCAAACACTCACGCTAAATCGATATGTCACCTTTCAGATCAGACATCATCCCTTCCGCTAGCTTACTCCAGTGTCCTCTTTGAACACAGGTGTGTGTTTGTAGATTGTTTGCGTTCCCTTGCACAGCTGCAAGCCTCGGTCAAAAAAAAAAAAAGAGAGACAAAGTGTGTCATAAACAAATGAAGCCACATCAATAATCTGAATCACAGCAGTTCGTGATCTCTGCTCTGACAGAGGTGATTCAAAAAACATGGCACGGTAGCAAATTGCTGTCTTAATGCTGTGATTACTTACTCGTTTCAGCTCAGAATTAAAATGCATGCACTGTATCACAGCAAGGAAGGGAATTAATCTGATTTCAATGTGAATCACTTTAGTGGCGCACATCTGCTGAATCTAATCAGATTAATTAAACATTTACACCAGCTCCTTTATATGTAATCCTGTCCCGATTTTCTTCTACGTCGTCATTCAAAGCCTCAATTGGATGGTAATTTTATATTTTGTTAATAAACTGCTGCTTCTCATTTTTCATGCGATGCATTTTTAATGAGTTCAAAGAGCCTTTTTGATTTCTTCTTTCATTCTTTTTTTTCCAAATCAAAGAAGTATATGGAAAGAAGCAGGTCAAAGCAAGCGTTTCATTATTGTGGACTTATCACATTATTACAACACTGCATGAATGTGTGTGTGTGTGTGTGTATGAGTGTATTTAAATAAGCAATTCCTCCTCTAATAAGTCACTTCTTTTGAGCACATATGATTGGAAAATCTATATTTTCACTGCAATGGACTTTATAATTGTATGCATGGAGCAAAGAGGCCACCTGGCCTGGTTTATGGCAATCTAAATGAAAAAATAAATAAATCACTTTTAGGCAAATATGGTATATCAAGTATCAAGAAACCCTCAAGGGATTTAAGAATAGCTGGATTTTATAATAGAGATACACTTCACAAAAAAATTATTCATTCAAACTAAAAATCTCCAATAGAGCACACATGATTGGAAAATCGATATTTTAACGGCAATCCACTTTATAATTTTATGCATGGAGCAAAGAGGCCACCTGGCCTGGTTTATGGCAATCTAAATGGGGAAAAAATCACTTTTAGACAAATATGGTATATCAAGAATCAAGTATAGCTGGATTTTATAATACAAATACACTTCACAAAACATTGATATGATACACGATATGATATGATGTTTCAAAACATTGAAACAATGATGCACTCTAAAAAATGCTGGGTTGTTTTAACCCAACTTTGGGTCAACTATGGACAAACCCAGCCATTGGGTAACATTTTTTAATTGCATTTTATGCTGGGTTGTTTTAACCCAACTTTGGGTCAAATATGGACAAACCCAGCCATTGGGTTACATTTTTTAATTACATTTTTAACCCAACGTTTGGGTTTGTCCATATTTGACCCAAAGTTGCAACCAAAGCAAACAACCCAGCATTTTTTAGAGTGTAAATTGTTCTAAATGCACCAGATTAGGGTGCATTTTAATGTTCCATAATGAAAAATTGTCAGTTGAGTCAGTTGCAGGAAATTAAACCTCAAGTATATTTAAGGGTTCTAAATCAAAATCTAGATAATATAATTAAAGAAATGCAATAATTAGAAATATACATAATATTAATTGTTGGGGATATTACACCCCAAAACTAAAATTCTACATAATCACATTTCATTCCAGTCGAATATGACATTCTTTCTTCCATAGAACACAAATGGGTATGTTTTTAAAAATGTTCACACTGCTCTAGTGGAATTGGATAGTGGCCATGGTCTGTCAAGCTTCTGAAAGGATACAATCCATTGTAAAAGCATTAGAAGAAATACACCTTCTGATGCCTTTGTAAGTGAAACAGATTCAGATTTAAGGGGTTATTCGTTAAAAGTCTTGGTCCTCATTTACTATCATTATGGAATAGAGCTGCTTGGACATTCTACTTCTGTGTGGTTTGATCCAAGAGACATGAAGGTGACTATAAATGAGGATTTTATTCTTTGGGGATAACTATCTCTTTGAGGAATCTTTCTCTGTTTAGAGTGAATGCACAACATGGCAAAGAACATCGGCCAACCAGTGAACTAAGACCCACTTCATGCTGTGTTTTCTCCCGCTCTCAGTGTCTGTAACTGATTTCTGTGTAACTAAAGATTTGAAGCTGAGGGATTTGGAGGAGGGGGACAAAAGAGAGGGAACGAATTAAAGATATCATTGACGAGGTGGAGAGGCACAGGGTGCATAATATAATACGATCTAAATGAGGCTTAATATAAATAGAGGACCAGGCAAAGAGCGTCAGTACAAAAGAGACTTCTAAATAAATCTGCGAGGTATTTTCAGAGTGTTGGTGGCAATGAAAAATCCACCAATGAGCCGCAAGTTTTATTTCAAGTGTGGTAATGAGAAGAGTCTGTGTTTGGTCTCATCGCCGGTTTTTCATCACCGACGTCACCAAAGGCAAGTCTCACAGGTCACACACACACTCGCATTTGCACATTTCATGAGACATACAGATGTTCTCAAGAGCAATTGAGTGGAGATGCATATCAGAACAGAGGAAGAGAGTAGGAACGTATAAAGAGGAAGTCGTAACGAATCCAATCTAATGGAATCTTGAGAAGCTTAGGATGACTCATAAAACATTCACAAATACAGAGTAGCACATTCAAACATATTCTAAACACACACACACACTAGTCATGCCCAGCACATACAGCAAACCATTCTAGTGGAACTGTACCAATGATTAGGGGTGAAATTGTTTCTTCTTTCTTTCTGCTCCTCAAACAGAAAACGATTGAATGAAAGCTACAGAGCCTGCAGAGTTCACAGAGCACGCAGCCCTCTGTGTCTCATAGATAGAGCACAAACACTCTTTTAATTACGTACTTTAATTGCTACTATTATTCTGAACATTACCAAGTAGAGAAGAGGAATTTAAAGCCAATTCATTGAAAACAAAGGCACATCTCTCTCACACGGTCCCGTCAATGCTGGTGAAGCAAAGCAGAGGCATGTGTCACTACTGACTTCTGCTGGTCAAAAGCAGATACTATATCAGGAATTTAACCAATTTAAACGCGAATATTTTTTCACACTGCAGAAACATTAAAGGACAAGTTCGGTATTTTACATTTAAAGCCCTGTTTTAAGATCGTTGCTGATGAAATAGAATTCCTAAAACGCATTAAACTTTAGTTTACAAAGACGTTAAGCTCACCGAGTGATCTGGGGTGTTCACTGATATGCTCACACAAACATTGCGGCAAAAGATACTCTCCAACAGGTTTTATCGTAGTTTTTCTCCAGTGTCAAGACGAAAACTATGATAAAACTGATGGGGGGTGCAACCACAGACCCCGAAAATTCTCGGGCCAGTAGTTTGTGTCCAAATTTCAATCTTAACCATTCTATTTCATCAGAAACGATCTTAAAACAGGGCTTTGTGTAAAATACCAAACTTAAGTGAAACTAAAAAAGGCAAAAAGTTACAGAACCAAAATATACATTGATATACATTTTGACCCAAAATCTTGATCTAGTAGACAGATACTTTAATTATATATATATAAAAAATGATTGATCAAATCTAATGAATCAAATCATTGATCAGGTGACATGTATATTCTATTGTGTGTGATGTTCACATGCATTGCCTATGCCACTGGGATCCAGTCTCAGGTAGCCTTCTGCCAGTGAACTGAACCCAGTCAGGCCTCCCATAGCCGCATACGGAACAGCTCTGCCCACCGGGTGTCCCCGTGTCAGGCGCTCTTCCCTGGTTTCAACCACTGTCACATGAGCATATCCAGGCTGGCCACAGCCGCAGGTGAATGGACTTCGATAACCAGTACACTGAGTGCCTGCGTGTGTGAACAGGTAACTTTAAGACAAATGGAGACTCATTTTAAAGGGTTAGTTCACCCAAAAATGAAAATTAAGTCATTAATTACTCACCTCCATGCTGTTCCAACCCCGTAAGACCTTCGTTCATCTTCGGAACACAAATAAAGATATTTTTGATTGAATCTGAGAGCTGGATCAGTCCTACATAGACTGCCTAAGGGACTGGCTCTTGACGGCCCATAAAGTCATTAAAGAAAAGGTTTAAATATTCCATGTGACTACAGTGGCTCAATTATAAGTTTATCAAGTGACGAGACTACTTTTTGTGCGAAAAAAACATAAATAACGAATTTATTCGACTATTCCATTACTTCCTTATGGGCGCATGCGCGAGAACTGAGACGAGGACGTTCTCATTCGTCTACTTCTTGTTACCGGCTGCTCACCGCTTAGGAGTATTACCGCCACCTACCGTATAAAATGATGATCCATATATAAGGTGCTCCGGATTATAAGGAACACTGTCGTTTTTTGAGAAGATTAAAGGCTTTTAAGTGCACCTTATAGTGCGGAAAATACGCAAATTGAAAAGCGTATGTACAGCGCACATCTTCCTCTGCTTGTAAACAGAAAGTTTTGCGCTTCCAGCTATATCAGCACATCATCTTATACGGTAGGGGGCAGTAAAACTCCTAAGCGGTGAGCAGCCGGTAACAAGAAGTAGACGAAGGAGAACGTCCTCGTCTCAGTTCTCGCGCATGCGCCCATAAGGAAGCAATGGAATAGTCGAATAAAGTCGTTATTTATGTTTTTTTCGCACAAAAAGTAGTCTCGTTGCTTGATAAACTTATAATTGAGCCGCTGTAGGCACATGGAATATTTAAACCTTTTCTTTAATGACTTTATGGGCCGTCAAGAGCCAGTCCTTTTGGCAGTCTATGTAGGACTGATCCAGCTCTCAGATTTAATCAAAAATATCTTTATTTGTGTCCTGAAGATGAACGAAGGTCTTACGGGGTTGGAACAGCATGGGGGTGAGTAATTAATGACTTAATTTTCATTTTTGGGTGAACTAACCCTTTAAGTTTTATTAAATGCTAATGTGTTACATGATGACAATGGTCACAATGGTGCAAAACTCACATTTCTTGCACAGGTGCCCTGAAACTTCAGCGTGCTCACTGGTTGTGTGTTTGCATTGGCAGCGTACTTGGTTAGAGCCGTTGATATGAACGTATTCATAGGACACACAGTGACAACCTTTGACCCTACAGGGCAGAAGTATAGGCCTTTCCTTTGGCAACTCCTCAAAGTCCGTGCAGTGTTGTTTGTACCTGAGAATGAAATAGAAACATTAAATAATCTGTTTTTGTTTGTGTGTGTGTGTGTGTGTGTGTGTGTGTGTGTGTGTGTGTACATCAAGTATGTGTATGACTGGTGATCCATACCTGTGTGTACAAAAACAAGGTGTCTCTGGTCCAATGAGTTTGCAGTCTATCTGTCCTGGGATGGCAAAACTGACATATAGGCGGTTTCGTAATCTTCTTGGGACCACTGTCTCTTTGTATTTCTTGTACTCATCCTCTGAAAACATCCTCCCTCTATCATCTTCCCCAACAATCCTAACACATGACATTCAATGATAGAGAATTACAAGATCACATTTTCAAACTGACAAGTTTATTACTTGAACTACAAATGGTACACCAAATCAACAGAACAGGAAGTGAAATTATCAAAATAAAGTTGTTGTTGTTTGATTTTTACAGACTTTAGTCAGCTCACTGATTTCCTCAAACAAACCTTCTGTATTCTAAATAGGCCTCCACTGCACTGGTTGCATTTTTGTCGATTTGTATATTTTCCATTCCACGGTGATTATGAGTCTATTTTGTTGGTTTGTCTGTTTATATAAATTAAGTCTCGCGCTGCAACCCTGACAACGGACAACTTGGAATGAAGACTTTTCATGGCGTTGTGTTTCTAGGCAACGACGTAACAACACTTATCAGTTTGACTTACGTAAACCAGGCAAAAGAAAGAGGGAAAAATATGCGAATGTAAAAATCTTATCAGTAATGTCCAATATAGCATAATATAGACATTTTAGTGCATTCATCGACTACATTTGTACAAATTGAATACATTTCCCATGCTCCCTATGACTTTTTACGTAAATGCGTGATGAAGTCAAGAGATCGGTTCCTTCAAACAGTTCTTTTCACGAAAACGATTCAGCGATTCTTTTACGTTATGGCGTAGGGCGTACTTGCGTTATCGCATGCTCATAAAAACATGAGGTCATTTACAACATAAATATTATTTGCGTTAACAGAAAATAATACTAAATATTCATCGTCTGGCTCACTGGCTGAAAAAAAGTGTTTTGCCGGTTATAATCATGTTATACTGATCAAAGTCCTGAACGTTTCATTCATACATGTCTGCTCTAACTTTTCTGTCCATCAGAATTGTTACACACCTAGCACACGCAAATTAATTTGCACATGACAACTGCTCGAAATATTTTTATTCGTTTCGTGAACGAACCGTTCAGTCCAATGTGAAAGAATTGCTATGAAGAATTGTTTAGACGCTTTGGTGAAAGGATTCATTAGATTCATTTAGACAGATTCGACTCAAAGAACAATTCATTCACAACCCGGACATCGCTAGTGCGTAACATGACGTCGTACGCAATAGGTCGTATTGTCACCGCAGGAAAATACTCAACATTTTGCAATACTGTTCCTAGTTTCTCCACATCGAGCGGCTCTGAACGATGAGCTGGCATTTATTTTAAGCCGTTTTATCTGTAAAACAATTCGCTTCTTAGGCTACTTTATACAGAGACGCTTGCTTTTAAGTTTTGCTGCAGTTTGAATAACGTTAATGTATGGCTGCAATGCATGCAAACGTGCTAAGAAGATGTCAACAATTTGGAGTCAGCGAATCTGTCATCTTGACTAAAGTATTTAAGGTAATTTCTATATGAGCTATATGTTACTGTATTAGTTTCCTCAGGCTGTTCCAGCTGTCTAGTGTCTTTCACAACCCAACTGGCCTTGTCTTAAAACGATAATAGAGTGTGTAATAATGCAGTCTGCAGACCGAGTGAAAATGACCCCTCGACCACGTGTCGACGATTGATACGAATCTAGGCAGAATCCAGAACTGTTTTTTTTTAATTTGCTTATGCTGCTTGCCTAATATCAGTGATCCTATTTTTCTGTTAATGCTAACCTTTTCTAAAGACAATATCATAACAGTTATTGCATCAACAGCTAAACTGTTAATAAATAACTTTATGGCATTGTTTAACTTATAATCATGATCTGTTCAGGCATGAAATGTCGACCCCAGCGCTTTAACCCAGTTATACTGTGATTACCATCTTAAATATCATGTAACTATGCTTTGACAGCTCTGTAAACGAACACAATAGCTTTACAGGGTGGAGCACACTATGTATATTCTCTGTTCTTTGATCACTCTTCACAAGCTTGAATAGCCTATGTCGCCTTGACTAATTTAATCTATGTGCAAAAACACTACATTTTTATTTTGCCAATATTGTGCTGCTGATTTTGTGGAGTACAGTTAGAAGTGGTTGAATTTCTCCCTCCTGCATTATTAATTTATTTAAAGCATCTTCTCAGTCAGTGATTAATATGTGATTGGTGGAGAATAGTACTGTGACCATAGTGAAAGAGAGCGATGACAAGGTTCCTATTCTCTTGGCTGGAAATGTAATTTATTCATGCACACTGAAATCTGAGGCTCTGCAAAAAACACATTCATAAAATCTGATGTTATTATATAGCTTGGGGCAAGTACCATTTAATCGCCTGTTTTTGTTTTTACAGATATTCCTTGCACCTAACCCCCATTGATAAAATCCTCCCCAAAAAAAGGATAAACAAATGTATGAGATCAGTGACCTTATTACCCGATCTTGTCCCCAGCCCTGAACTTGACAGCCTCTTTTAAACCTGTCCCCACCCCATCCCCTTAACTGGGGTCACATCATCAGACCCGCAGCATTGCCATGCTGTGCTGTCTGCTGCGTAGGAGCATGTCTCATAAACTTAGTATGGTACTGGTGCTCTTCGGGCTGGCCTGGTGTTTGCTGCTGTTTCACTACACCGTCACACAACCACGCCGGCAGAGCAGCGCAGAGCTCCGCCAACAGATCCTTGAGCTCAGCCATCGCTACGTCAAAGTCCTTAGCGAGGAGAACCAGAATCCTTCAGCGCCCCATGGCACCTCCATGGCAGGATATAGTAAGTATTTACTCTTACTCATTTTTGAATCACCCTCTTGTTGTTCCAAACCTGTATTCTGTTTTATAGTTTTAAAAAGCAATGTAAATCTGCCATAAAACTGTCCAAATATATGTTTGTGATGAAAAGACCAAAATTGATGTCTGTGCTCTGTGGCATATGTTGTTGGTTCCCTTGTGTCTTTTAACCAAACTAAATTTCACAGTTTTAACTTGTTACTTGAGTGATACTTTATAATAAAGTTAAATTAATTTACATTTGTTAATGGTACAGCTATCATGAAAAATATATATATTAAAAGTATAATATATATATATATATATATATATATATATTATAGCATTTATTAATCTAGGTTAATGTCTTTTTTTCATGTTATTATATGTATACTTAAAATGTTAAATATGTATATTTAAAAAATAAATTAAAAATGAACCAATAATGAACAAGCATTGTACAGCTTTTAATTAGTTCATGATATCTAGTGCATTGTCTAATTGTCAAGTTAACCATATTGGTTTCTTTTATGGTTTACACTTTAAAATACTTTACAATAATGTCTAATGTGTTAACATTAGTTAATGTGTTAACTTATGTATTGTGAACTAACAATAAGCTTCTTTCTTTTTCGCAACATTTTTTAGTCTTTGTAAATGGCAGTTAATAAAAAATACGATTAGGTCACAGTGCATTAGCTAATATTAACAAATGCAGCTTTTGATTTTACTTTTTTATATTCAATTTGCAATAACTTAGATTAAAAATGCTGTAGAAATATTGTGTTAGTTCACGTTAATTTATGTAATCTAATGTTTACAAATGAAACCTTATAGAAACTGTTAATATGTAATTCTGTAATCCTTTTACATTATCTTTTATAAAATATGAACATTATTCTTATTCATGCTTTTTCTTTTCTTTTTGTGCATGTGAAGCGTATGTGAAAGAATAGCCTACTTAGATTTCTGGAAGGGTGTGTCCGAAAGAGCTTTAGAAATAACACTACTAATACTTTCATTATCTCTTTTCGCTGAAGCTGACTTGAAGAAGACAATTGCTGTGCTCTTAGATGATATCCTCAACCGTTTGGTGAAGCTGGAGGGGAAAGTGGATGCTGCTGTGAACGCTTCCGTGCACAACATCTCCCATCCTGCTGCTGGAGCCGGGACTCTCCTTTCTGCCAAAGTTGCTGTTTCAAAGTTGCCCACCAAGCCAAATATGCCTGCCCATCGGCCAGACAGACGTAGTAACCCTCTGCAGTTCCTGCCACAATCACCTGACAGGCCACATAATCCAAACTCTTTAAAATAGAAAACTGTGGCTATGGACATCATCTGTGTCATTACAGCAAAGACTGTACAGAGATAAATATAAATAGATATTTTTTTTAGACTAAAGCAGCTTTTAGACATTTTTTTTAGTTGTCCACATGAGCTTCAGCTTAATTGTTTTGTCTTTTATTAATGGATAAGAAATATATTTTATAACTTATTTGCAATACGAAATATAAGACCTGAGAGAGTGATAGGATGAGATTATTATAGTTTTTTTGACAGAAAACTGAGTTTTGATGTACAGATGAGTGTTTCATAATGTATCTGCAAAAGACTCCATGTACAGCATCATATCCTTGCTACTGTTGGCGCCTTTTAATCATTAGGATTACATGCGTTTCTACGCATTAATTGAACTGTGGATCCAAAGAATATTCTCTGAATAGTTGATTGATGTCTCGGTGGGATTTACCTCAAAACTGAATTTAGCATTAAGCTTTCAGAAGCTGTACACCAGGTACTACAATTCAATCCATGCAATAAAAGATGTACCAGACTTCATTTGTGTCAGTGTATGCAAGAGTTGAAAACAACAGATTTGTGCCATTAACGTGATTAAATACATTTTGAAATGTCTCCAAAGTGCTTCAGATACTACCATGGTTTATGTGCCATGTCAATACAATATTATTATTTTGGATATGTCGATTTATAATCTCTAATTTATATTTATAAATCGTAGTAGTTGTTTATCCATCCATCTTCAAACATTGAGCGGATGTGACGTAGAGGTTGAGTTTGAGTCTCCTCCCATACCAGTTCCCCTCGCGCTTCAGCCCTGGTCAGCCATTTTCTGCAGTTACACTGAGAGCGGAAGTCTTCGGGGAAGAGTATCTTTATTTTCATTCTACCAATCATTCATATTTTAAAAATGAGTGATGTCGAGGAGACACAATTCGAGGGGAGGGTAAGCATTATAGTTGTGTCAACCGTTCTGCACTTTACTTTCAAATATTCTTTCTTTCTTTTTTGCGGTAGCTAATGCTCGATTAGCGTACAGCTAACTTAATCTTCCGCTTTCTTTTGTTTATTTGCAAATTAACTGAGCAGATAGATCAGCTGATACATACTTATCGGTTAGTAATTTGCAAAACATTTAATATTTTGTCACTTTAGAGCTTATGAGACCTGGCTATACAAGGTCGAATGTCAAATAAATGTAACTACGTTGTTTGTTTTTCACCAGCATGTAACGTATTTGTTTAATAATATGTCCTTTTGGTAGCTAGTGTATTACTTGCTCGTCTTATAATAGTACGTTACAGTTATTAAAGTAGACATTGAATAGAAATTTGTTAATACATGATATTTAATTACTACCACATTCACACAATAGTAGTCTGTGTACTTTTGGTTTCTCTTTCCAACGTTTCTGATCTTTCCCTACCTTCTGTCTCTTACATCATATGATTATATAACCAAACCAACATCTGTATTTCAAAAGGAGTGGTACAATTTGAATAGTTCAATTCATTTTTCTCCCTAAATTTCCCATGATCTTAATTGCTCTGAATGTTCTTTTTTCATTAAGGTTATTGGTCGTGAAGGATTTGAAGAGTTAAGGCCAAGAATGTGGAAGAATATTCAAGATAAAAGAAGGCTTTTACAGAGAAAATGTTTACAGAGCAGACGGTTAAGTGGGAAGGGGAAAAAAGAACGGAAGATCGGTCAGATAGAAGCACGCTCGCATTATGTCTAAAGCAGAAAAAAGAAAAAAGGTTTCAGATTGGGGTGAAGAAATGAAAAGGAGAGGAAAAATGAAAACTGAACAAATGAAGACCGAAGAATAAAATGCCTGAGAGAAAGGAATAGCCTATACTGAAAACAGAAGAATGAATGAGTCAGTAGGTTAAGTAAATGCAAAATTTGTGTTCCAAGTGTCTTTCTAATCTCTCTTTGATGATCATTTGCATGTTTGTAGCTTTACTGTGGTGATTCGGCTAAAGAAAAAGCATCACAAGGACCTGTGATGACTTTGTAGCCTTTGTAAATGTATCGATAATGTTATTAGCATTTTTTTTTAATCCATGATATAGTTTAAAAAGTAATTCTAACACTTTCCTCCACAGCTGTAATAAAGTGTATGTTTGGATTTCTGCAATTATGAATGTCGTGTGAGTGTGTAAGTTAGCTTGCTTTGAGAATGTTTGTCTTGTAAATGTTGTAACACACTGCTGTGACATTAGGAATCCCGCTCACCATCCAAATCGGAGCGGGGCAGTCCTGTCCAACTCAAGAATGAGAGCAGGTCTGGCTCTCCCAGCCCTTCCCGAGCATCCAAACGTTCTGAATCAAGATCCCGATCCCACTCCAAGTCCAGGTTAGACCAAACATTAGCTGAATGTCATAAAGCTATTTCTTGATTGGCTTCATGTCTGTTTATTTTGCTATCTCTCACTCTCTGTTTTTGGTCCTTTCCAGGTCCCGCTCTCGTCGGCATTCGAATCGCCGCTACAGCCGTTCTCGGTCTCACTCCCACCGGAAAAGGTCTCGTTCTCGCTCATACAGCCCTGAATACCGCCGCAGACGGAGCCAGAGCGCATCGCCCATGTCTAACCGCCGCAGACACGCTGGCAGCCGGGTGAGTTCCATGGTTTGGGCTCAAAGTTTAAATGGGCCACAGCTACGTTTACTGCAGTTAAAAATTGCTCGAAATTAAAATTGTCATTGATATTGTCATTATTTATTGATCGTAAACCCATGTGCTGTTGTTGTTGTTGTTTTTTATTTTGTTTATTTTATACCAAGTCATAAAATAAATAACAGCATACAGTAGTGGTTGTCAACCAAGGAGCCGGGGGCCTCAGCAAATTTCTTGGGTGTCCAGGATCACAAATGAAAATATTAAATTAATACATTCAAATAAAACTCTAACTAATATTAAGTCAAATGCTGAAAAACACAACATCAGGAAGTAATATACAATCATCCCAGCTCCCCCTCAATAGATATTGTTGTATTTGAAGAACTTATAGTTCTTTAAATTTCTGCAATCACAAAATGAATTCTGGTTAATTAATTTAAAGGAGTAGTTCACTTTTAAAAAAACTTTTGCTGGTAATCTACTCGCCCCCATGTCATCCAAGATGTCCATGTCTTTCTTTCTTCAGTAGAAAAGAAATTAATGTTTTTGATGAAAACATTCCAGGATTTTTCTCCATTTAAGACTTTACTGGTAACCAAACAGTTCAAGGTCCAAAAGACAGTTTCAGTACAAACTGTTCAAAGGGCTTTAAACGATTCCAGATGATGTATAAGGGTCTTATCAAGCGAAACGATCGCTCATTTAAAAATGGTCTCCTTGTTCTGTTCTGTGATGCGCGTTCGTGACTCTCCTGTTCGAACTCGTTCATCAAAATGAACAAACCTTTTCCTGAGTCAATTCGTTCATTTCATTCGTTGAATGAACCAAATGACACTAAAAAAGATTTGTTCATTTTGACAATCGAGTAAACTTTTTTTTTTTTTTTAATGATCGATCGTTTCATTTGATAAGACCCTTATTCATCATCTGGAATCGTTTAAAGCCGTTTATATGGAGAAAAATTCTGGAATGTTTTCATCAAAAACCTTAGTTTCTATTCGACTAAAGAATGAAAGACATGGATATCTTGGATGACATGGGGGTGAGTAAATTATCAGCAAAAGTACTCCTTAAAGTTTTTTGGGGGAAAGAAGCATTGTCATAATTGCAGCTGAAAAATACTGGAAATATCTTAGCCTATAATGGGGCATATTGTGTTGGAAAGTAGGGGAATTTCAAGTCAAAAAGTTGAGAATGAGGGTGAGTGAATAAAGACAGAATGTTTTTGGGATTAACTATCCCTTGAAATATATTCAATTAAGAGCTATGTGGTCCCGTTTTTATTGAATAACAGCTACGCTTAAGACGTAACAACTTGATTTAGTTCAAGACCTTTTTATGTATTTTTAAAAGTGATGTGTTTTAAATACTAGTCTCAATCTTGTGAGTCTCTGTTTGGTACAAAATGCATGCAAACCCTCAGCACAGCCTCACGGGGATGAGCATGACTGTCTTTAATAACCCCTTTCATTCCTTCTTATTACATCAACAGAGCTCACACAGCCATGACTCCAAAAAAGACTCGCACAGTCATGGTGATGCCAGGGTATGTGGACCTTTCTTAACATTTTAACAATGATCACTAGACCAAACAGATCTCCATGTTGCTTTTTAAAGGGGTTAAGAGGTCCATTTTGTGACTTTTAAGAATCACTTTGTCCTCCTGCAGTGACTGTGAAAGCCCTTCAGACGGCTCATGAAATGACCATATTCATACCGTAATGCCTTAAGAAATGTTTTGTTGGACGGAAATTTGTAATGTTTGTTCTTGCTTTAAAAAAAACTCTATAACAGGGGTTATTAAATACTGTCACACAGTTACCCGGAGAATTTTTAGGAAATTAAGCAGTCATGTTGATTTGCCGTCCCACCAGAGAAAGCAGTGAAGTATTTCCTGAAAAATGGTACATGCATCTCTTTTTAGGGGTGTAACAATAAACACTGGGAAACCTAGAATGGTTATTTCATACAAAAAGAATGTTGTGCTGCTTTCCATCATGTCCAGTAATTATTTAATGTCATTGCATGTGAATATTTTTTGTGATCTAAAATTTTTTACAAAGAAATGAATTGCAGCATGTTTTTTTTTTCTTTTACTTAAGTTAATGTCTCATCAAAGAAGCGATAATGTAAGTTTAATATTTACATATTTATATAAACAGTAATATTTGTAAATAAATTAAATGACAGGTCATAGACACAATGTTGGATTGTATTATTTGGTGGTTATTACACTTTTGGTGTTTTGGTTATTACATTTTGGTGTCTTGTGTTCTAGTGCTCACACCTCTGTACCTCTTTCAGGCCAATCCAGACCCAAACACATGTCTAGGTGTGTTTGGTCTCAGTCTGTACACAACAGAGCGAGATCTGAGAGAGGTCTTCTCACGTTACGGCCCTTTAGCCGGTGTCAACGTTGTCTACGACCAGCGAACGGGGCGCTCTAGGGGGTTTGCCTTCGTTTACTATGAGCGCATCGACGATGCTAAAGAGGTACTTCCCCAAATGTAAATGACCTGCCAACGCATGTTCATGGGCTAAATCAGGGGACACGCCTAACGACTGTAAGGAAGATTATGAGTATCAATCAGCTAGTCAATAAGTGTGTCCCCGGCATAAGAGGTATAGCGATTGAATTGTAGTTTAAGAACAATTTCAGATTACCTGTTGTAGCCAAGTGAACACATTGACTTCTAAAGAGTTTCCCATACAAAATCCAGAAATATCAGGACATTTCTGTTTTCCAGGACTGGAATAGTCATGATAATTTTTAGTATTGCAGTAAGACGTGTTTCAAAGTATTTGGCTATATATTGCTTGTCAAGTAAAATTTTCATGCATGCAATAGTAAGGTGTGCGAATTGTTTGTTTTTGTTTTTTGTGTTCAATAAATCAGTTAAGCAGTCTGAATGATCAATTAGTGAATAGCTCTGCAAAACTTCCTTTAATCTTTCAAAACGAGACGTTTTTTTTATTTATTTTTTTCGTTTTTTTTTTTACTGCTCTGTAAATATATCTTGTCTAAAAAGACCATTTGTCCCTCACCATAGGCAATGGAGCGGGCTAATGGCATGGAGCTGGATGGAAGACGCATCAGGGTGGATTACTCCATCACTAAACGTCCACACACACCCACACCAGGGATCTACATGGGTCGGCCCACACAGTGAGTATTTTGCAGGCAAAAAAAAACAAGCAAGTGGCTAGTAGGATGGTTTTTAATAACACTTAAAATATTACTCTTTTAGTAATGGAGGTGGGAGCAGCAGCAGCAGTGGTGGTGGTGGTGGTGGTGGCGGCCGAAGACGAGACTCATATAATGATCGTGGCTATGACAGATATGACCGCTATGACGAGTATGATTACAGATACAGGTAACATGAATATACATACAGCAGTTACCAAAAGTTATATGTTTTTAATGACCCTAGAAGTTCAATTAAACCATTAAAATATGAGAACTTTAAAAAAAAATGTATAGATTAACCCTCTGATTGTCTTTGGGGTTAAATAACAAAAAAGTTCTCTTTGTCCAAATGGTATTAAATTGCTACGGCTCTAAACACTTTCTAGATCTACAAAAAAAAAAAAAATTGAGTGAAATCTGTTTTTATGTAAAAAATAGTGAAACTAGTTGTCTTTGGGGTCCCTGGAGACCCCGCATAGTAAATATACAAAATTCATCATCAAAAACAGAAACAACGCAGATCAAGTGGCAAACTTCCAACGAAGCAAAAATTATCCACAATGCGCACATACACAGGAATACATTTTTTTCTCCATTCACTGTGACAAAGTTTTTTTGTTTTGTTATAATTGTGAATTTATAATATTTAGATATGAATCCAACTGGAAAAACTTATGTTTTGAGAATATATGTTTTGATTAGTCAAATAGCTTATAGCATAATAGTGGAGCTCTATAGCCATCTAGTGGTTAAAGTGATTTTTTTAAATTATTTTTTTCTGCATTTTCCCCCCAAAAAAGCTAAAAATCTTACATTAAACCATTTAATATTATCCATGTTATATCCATGAATGAAAGTTAGAAATTTTATAAAGTGAATTTTACATAAAATGCTGTTTTTTATTTTTATATTTATTTATAGAAATTTAAAAGATATCATAAATCCTCCCAAAACTGCACATATGTTGAGTAAAAACATTAATAAACAGAGTAAAATTACATTTGTAAAATAAAAATAAAAATTATTGTCTTGGATCCTGAGACCCCAAAGAGACAGAAATAAAGATAATCAGAGATAATAACAAAACACTAATTTTAATTTAAAGTGTTTGTCAGACAAAATTATTTAGCAAAACCAAGGCATACATTTACTACAATCTAATCAGTTATTTGTCCTTAGTTGATTCACTCTTTTCTTTGCATGTTCATAAATTTTTTTTTTTGTATGACAGCTGTGGGAAAAAATAAAATAAATGTGTTCTCAATTTGGCGTGCTGATTTATCTAAAATAAAACAAATGTTTAATAATATTTGAATAAGGGTTGACTTTATTAGCCTTAGGCTGAACATCACTTAAGCCACTACAGTGTGTCAAACATTTCCATTGTGGATCCTGATCCGTTTTTCTCTTTTCCAGCAGGAGGCGCTCTCCTTCACCTTATTACAGCCGGTACAGGTCCCGCTCAAGATCTCGCTCATACAGCCCACGTGAGTGGATTTAAACGCTTTGAAAAATCAAAATTTTCCACATATGCCCAAGTACATAACTGCTTTATAAGCCTCAACTTCTAGTGTATTACTCATGAAATCAGTTAGCTCACAGAATTGTGTACAATGTGATGAATATTTTAATTATAGATTCATGTTAATAGAACTTTTATGTTTTGCAGGACGATACTAAGAAGATCCTGAGGACTTCTTTCTTTTTGCCTGTTTGCATCAAGTTATACATTTATAAAAACATGAAGTACATGTAAACTCACTGTACTTGAGAGATTTGTTTAATAAATGTCTTGATTTGTAGACTCCCTAGTATACAAGTTTAGGGTTTGTGGCGATCATAAATACTGTCATCATAGGGTTTTATGTGCGGGACTTCTTTTTTTGTTGTTGTTTGTGTAGTGTGCTCGTATGGTGTGATATAAATTTTCTTAAAAAACTGGGCATCTTTTAGCGGGAATGTATGCTGTACTAAGAGTGTGTGAGTTGCTGTACATTTGTGTGACAGAGCATTGTGTTCTTGAGAAAGAAAGCTGAGATTGCCTGTTTATCTGTGACATAAAAAAAACTTTATTTTCAGGATGAATTTGTGTTGCTTTGTTTCTTTCTCAAGAAATAATGAGCTTAAAAATAAAATGTTTCTTTCTATTCTGACAAGACGTGCTTTGATGTGCTACTTAGTCTTGTGAATGTTCTTCAAAGTGTGAATACTGTGAATAGAAGCAATGTATTACACAGAATCGTATGTCAGCTTACCTTAATATTTAACATAACCATAGACATCAAAAATGTGTGAAGAATTATTGCTAAGAAAAGTGTTTCTCGCTAGTAAATGTTGAAGAACTATTTTTTTAAAGTGTGTTTACTTACAATCCAAATGTTTTTAAATGATATTAAACTTAATTTTACTTAAAATGCTTAATTTTAATTAAAATTCAATAATTAGGTCATGAAATTAATAACTGAAAAGAACATTGATCATCTATATGATTATCAGATTATGTTGTCAATGCAATGAGGAAAGATTTAATACAAATCAATCCTGTAATAATTTATCTTGAAATAATTCAAATAAAAGCTTTTGCATTTTGTGTAAAACTGCATTGTATATCATCAATACTAATTAAAACACACCACTAATATATCAGTATTTAACGTTCCACTATAGAGCTGTTTTTTTCCCCCAACCATATAAAGAAGTTGCTTAGCCATGGGCTGAATACATGCTGACTTCACTGTTTACAGTACAAATTTAACGTTGAGGTCAAATATTTCAGTTGCGTAACTTCACATAAGAGAAGCAAACATCATATAAGAGACATTGGTTAACATGCATTCAATTTGTTCATACTACACATGTTATAGTATATACATTTTGTCAAGAGGATCCACAGATCTTATAAGACACCTTTGTTGTATAAATGTAATGTGTTTGAAATCAACAGGAACAAACCTACAAGGTTCTCCATTAGAGGAGCATGGAGGACTTGGCTACGCTAGACTGTCGGCCATATTGTTTTCACCTATCCAGGCATTTCAGATCAGTGGAGTGGATGAGTAAGGAAATTCTGAGACAAGACCATTGTTTAAGTTCCACTTCCTGATGTGGCCCGTACGTGACATGAGGCCAGCACTCCTAAAATTGTATTAAAAAGTATTTCTGAATATATAGAAATGAGCAAAACAGACTGGTGGGCGTAACATGTCGCTAACTGCCTCTCGTACAAGTCAATGAACTCTAATTATTTTGTTACTTCTCATACAAAAATACAATTACGTCCACCTTTTATGCACATTTTAAGGTTTAAATGCACAGGCTATAAAACATTTTTTTCTTAGTAAGCATTCATATTATCATGTGAGATATCATATGAGACTATTTATTGTGATGTGATGCATAGACGTAACAAATCTTACGATTACAAAGCTTTATTTGAGAAGAAAAAGGGTAACTTTAAAAGACATATTTTTGTCTGGTTTTTAACCAATGACTCATGTCTTTAAGATCTTATAAATGTGCAATTAAACCACTGACTGCATACTTGCTTGAAGAACTTTAACAAACCCAAATGTCATTAAAAATGGGCATCATGTAAAAATATAGCATCCTCTCACATAAATCATGCAGAATAAGCTAAACATTTAAGCCACACAACTTGTGTACAATACCTTAAAATATTTGTTATATACCATATATTTTTATTTCTACATTTGCAGAACATTCCAGCAATTAAAATAGGTAACTGTTGGATGCATTAAACAACGGTTTTTACTCGGGAAAAGATCCTTGAATTTGTTTTGTGGATATTCTTCAGTGCACATTATCAAATTGTTAACATAAATTAGTTAAATTAAATACATTCCTACACCAAAAATGGTCCATATCAGTCCAAACAAATGTTCCTGGAAATGAGCACATTATATGAAGCACTCATATTTGCATAATTACAAATTCTTATTTTATATTGTGCTTTACAAAAATTTATTTCCAGGAATGGAGGGCATTTGTAGCGCTTAACACCTTAGTAGGTTGTTGTACACTTTTTATTTATAAAAGAGCGTGACAACATCTAGCTTTGTTCTGCTTGAGACAATGAGCAAATTAATTTGTTTTTCAGGTCTGTTGTGATTTTCAAACATTACACACTACATTTAAACAGCCCCTCTAACCAAGCATGTATAAAACATATTAAATCTCTTATTATTATTCCAATCCTGTTCGTTAGCATTCAAGGGGCCCCTGTTAAAACTTGCAGAGGCCCCACAGTCAAAGGTCAGGCCCACCTCGTCACATGGGTTATGTAACTTTTTTTTATGAATTTGAGACCAATAGGCAATTAGTAAATTGTTCTATCTTCATCCTCAAATCAATATAAAAAAAAAAAAAACTTGATTTTTAACAATCAAATATTCAGACTGTACAAGGATAGCTTTCTACAGATCATGATGTGCAAATAATGTATGTATAGGCCAAGATTTATTATTATTATTCTTGTTTTATTTATTTATGGATCACAATCATCATATTCCTTAATACCAGTATCTCAAAATAACAATATGAAGGGAAATATGTAAAATGTAAAACTTTCAACTTTACATTGTGTAAAGGCACAATGATAATAATAATGATAATAATACAAATGTTCTGCAACATAACAATTTTTATTTGAGCTTTCAAAGTAATTCTTTTAAATATCAAAACAGGATAAAGTAAATATGAAATGAAAAACTCAATAAACGTAGGCTACGTAGTCTAAACAACGAATGACTATACCCAACACATTGTTTAAGATGACATTAGTAGCCTAACCTTAAAAAAAAAAAAAGGTCGGTATATGTAACTGTGACGCTTTTAAAGTAATTATATGAACTATGAGTTATTTGACTTGAACACAGGAAGCAGCTTGGCTAAAAAAAAACAAGAAGATGTGAATCAGTACCGCCATTTTCTGTACAACGGTGGTTCATACAGCCAAGAACATAAACATCGACTAAACTTTAATACAATATATCCTTAAAAAAAAACAACAAGAGTGAAGATTAAGTAGGTTTTCAACAAATTACTTAACTTATTTGAGAACACGAAACAAAACTGCTTAAACACGAAACTTCTATGAAAGTTTCTGAAAGCAAATTATTAAGAAAAATGGCGATAGCTGCACAGAATGTTCCATACATCCACTCATCAGTGAATATAATCTAAACAGTACAAAATCTGAAACGGTACATAAAATACGTTTTAACTTAACGTTATAACGTGATTAAATACACTGTTCCTCGACGAAAGCGAAGCTAACATCAATTCTTGCTCTTAGCCTTTTGTTTGTATATAATATATATGCTACGTTTTAAACGTATTTATGTTATCGTTTGGATCACTAATTCGACTTAAAACGGCAAATTACCCTAATACTTTAAAGGAAAGCCCGTAGATTTCCATCGTTAAACCACTATTTTACCACACTCAATCCGCGTACTATATAAACAATGTTTTCCTATAGAAAACGTCTCTCCTGACGGGTGGAGCAACGGTCGCATTCCTGTTCAATAACATGCATTTCAAAACAAACTCACAAACATACAGCACGAATGTAAAGGTTTAGTTATTTTCAAAAGCATTTATTATCACAATCTATATAAAAGTGTACTATAAGAAATAGACGTTGTAAAAGGGGTGCAATTATGAAAATGAGCTTCCGATCTGACCAAAGAATGAGGGGAGAAAATCCCCCACACAAAAGGACTGGGTAACGTTAAGGCAACGCATAAACTAAGAATTTCCGCCACGTCTCCTAAAATATATACCAACCAAGTTTTCAGAATCATACAATTTTCTATATACAACACATTCATGCGAACTGCCTCGAAATACCTCATGAAAAGTCCTCCTCCACATATTCTTTTCTTTGTATGCCTTTATCTTTTAAATCTGAAACGAAAAGAAAATGTATAGTGCATAATGTGTTCCGGTTTCTAGTTATGAGACTGGATGAAGTAATTCCACCTCATAGTAGACTTTTCGCGCCTGGATTTGTACCGAAGAGCAGTGGATGAAAACTGAAAACCAATGAATGAACAGTCGGCGCAGCAGACAGAGAGAGTAGTAAAGCAGAAATGAGCTGCGTTTTCATTGGTCTCCTGTTCGACCAATAGGAGCGTTTCATGTGCGTGCCATTCTACAGTAGTATTTCAGTTGTGCAAGCCATACTACTGGCATCCAGGCCCACATTGAGAAGTCAGCTGTTGTTACTTCTTACATTTTTATGGGCCATTTCAAAGTGCACATCTATGGCATTAAAAGAACCAAGTTTTATTTAATTATGAGAAAACCAAAATAATAATAATCCTCTTCGTATGATTTTAAGTTTTAACATGACTATACTGCTGCTATAGAACAAACCATGATGTATGACGTGTTTACGAAAATTCTGCAATTATGTTTGTGTCTCAAGTTAAAAAAGATAAATAAATATTGGTAAGACATAATCTTAAAAGTAAACTATCGAGAAAAATAAAATCGCCACATTGCCAAAAATGTGTCGCTTGGCCCAGGATATAAAAAATAGGCTAAGGAAGGATACATGAAAAATAGTAATTAGTGTTAATAAAATCATTTGGAAAAAAAAATCATCTGATTACACTGAAGCTGGACAGTCCAATTTAATTATTATAAGCATACTTTACCCTAATATGCGCGACTATCTTATGGTTACAGATTTGTTTAAAACGTATCAAATATTCTGATGTGTGTATCTTGTGTGACGTTTGGTAAAACCAAAAATGAAAATATTTCTAGGTAGCCTATATTCCTCATTTAATGTAAACGGCAGGTAATTATCTAAATCCCCTTGAATTAAAGCGCGAGGGAGCGCCTTCCTGAATCTCGTAAACGTAAAAGAAAAAAAAATCTTGACGTGGCCGTCTTATATAGAATAACCCGCTTCTTTTTTACATTTAGAACGATAGCCTACTTTAGGCGCTACATAATATCGCAGCACCCGCACAAATTGAATACATCCTAATTATCAGAAATCTGTCGAACGTACGTGTCATATCCTAGACTTGCGGTGCATTATTATCTTGAATATTTACCAAAAACTTTTTCTTTTTCTTTTTTTGTGTGTGTGTGTGTAGCCTACAGAATTTTTTAAGGAATCCAACTGGATGTGTGTGCGTGACAGAAAGAGAGGGGGAGAGAAAGAGACGCATGGGCGTGGGCCCTGTGTAGCCTATGTCTTCGCTTTACGTGGAAGGTCGAGCGATTTGCAGGCCGCACATCCAGATATTTATGCAACAACACTCTTTTTCAGTGGAACCGTGACAGAAATGTAGCGAATTATCGGGGAAGAACTCTAAAGTATATTTTGCATGAACAAACACAGGCCTATGATCTCCTCCCCGCTGTGCCAGAAGGAGGCCCGCCTTAACCACTCGCCATCATGACTTTTTCTATGTTCCGCATGGCCCACCCCTTTCTTTAGGCACCGGAAGTGTTTAATTCGCTTTGTTCAATCTGGTCAGGTCACATTAGGCTACATTAGGCCACAATGGTCAAACACTGTATGCGCGGTTTATGAAGAAGATGTATTAGCGTAACAGAAGAAGTAGCATAATAACCTACCACACATGTAGCTGTGTTGATAATAGTTAAGCGTGAAGGACTTGTAATGAAATAGCGGAGAGGCATAATTTAAACCATGCCCCTTGATTGATTGCATGTTGTCTCAGTTTTATAGAGGTTTATTAATAGCAAGTCATATAATGTATAGAAAATAAAGTAGCCTAGATGCTGTATGAATGGCAGACCCTCCCCCTCGTCCCCTATATGGCATAAGCGCAGATAATAGTGTTGGCTTTAAACTCTGAGAGCAAGAGCGCGTGGAACGCCTCTTTACAACTCCAACAACAACCAATAAGAGCGCAGAATTGCATTAGTAGAGAGAAGTCCACCGAACGGAATATCATTGAATGTTACAACGAGTACAGCTAGCTTTGCAAATGCACGTAGAGCTCTCTCTCTCTCCGTCTCTCTCTCTCTCTCTCTCTCTCTCTCTCCCTCTCCCTCTCTCTCTCTCTGTCCCCACCCCAGTCATCCCTGTGCCATTTTCCCCCAATCCGACACTTAATTGAGCAACCGGGACACCTCACGTGCAGGACTGATTTGTAGTTTGAACACGTGGCTCATTGAAAAAGGCAGAACTTAGGGTTTTTTTGTTTTCCGTTTTCTTGATGTTATTGAGAGGCGGTGCCTACACAAATGCGCCTGACAATTTAGTCGCATCGCCAAAGAATAAAGAAACTTTCTCTGTTTTCCTCCAAGCCCTCGCCTCGTAGAGGTGACGAAATAAATAATTCAGCTCGTTTAAATCAAGAGGAAACGCGAGTGCGCGCAACCACGGCGGCGATCTCGTCCATCAAATATCTCAGTAGCTTGGAGTGATTGGGAGAACACTCCCAGACCCTCCGCTGAGCGACAGTGCGGTTCTCTCTCCAAACACTGCCCATCCGAGCGACGCGATAAAGGGCTGCCCCTCTGCAACACGGTCGCTCTTTTTTAGTATACAACAAAATGAATAAGCTTTATATTGGGAACGTGAGCGAGCAGGCGAGTGCGCTGGACTTGGAAAGTATCTTTGAGCAGTGGAAGATACCTTTCAGTGCACCCTTTCTCGTAAAAAGTGGCTACGCGTTTGTGGATTGCCCCGACGAAAAGGTAGCGATGAGGGCCATTGACACTCTTTCAGGTGAGACTTTCATCCAAATGTGATTTTGTCCACCCTTCAAATGAATTACAATGCCCACGCAACGGCCGCGTTTAACAATTAAATGCCTATGCAAAGCAGGGATGTGCTCGTAGATTGAGCAAGTGTTGAATATTCACTTTCAGTTTTTTTTTTAAACCACGGGGTTTAACTTACTCGTCGAGAACGCCAAGTCTCGCTATAGAACCAAAATAACTGAACGGCAAGTGTCCATCAAAGTTACAGCGTTGCTCGTCTACCCAGGGCGAAATTTGAAATGCTGTGTCCAAGTGGCGAGTGGCTGCTCATATTATTTAGGCTTTTTGAATTAAAATGTTTGGTTTGGCTTTTGAACGCCTCTCGTGGAGCACTTTCTGAGAGTGAACTGAAGTGTTTCTCAGAATTGGTCGTTTTCGAACTTTGCCATTGTAAAATTGTATCACTTTTGTCGCTGTAATTACCAGCTGCTCTAGAACACCAGGTGGTTGGGTTGCATTGGTGGCTTGTAGGCCTTTCGCCTACTCCCCTCGTCTCCAAAATATGGGTTGTTTATGTTTGGGATGAGTGTAAATTGTGTATAGGCTGCAATATTTGCTATAAAGGGAACGTATTTAAGTCAGTGGACATATTCGTGATTTTCTAAAATAAAGTCAGTGTTTCGCTGCTCGTGTCTGAGGCCTTAGCGCAAGCGTGGGGCAAATTTGCCTTCCATGTTTAACCTCTGGGAATTTGTATGATCTATTTTTCTTTGGCTTTAATGTGTCGTGAAAATTTAGTACATGTCAGTGTGGTTTCTCGACACCTAACACAAATAGGATTTTTTTTTTGCACTTTCGTACATTAACATTTGACACAAAATAGACATTTTTGTTTGAAATAAGAATGTGTTTTATTAAAAGAAAATTAATATTTTTCAGGGAAAGTAGAACTCCACGGAAAAGTCTTAGAAGTGGAGCACTCTGTCCCTAAACGACAAAGGTAAGATTCATTTGTAAATTTCGCAATTTCATCCACGTTGAAATTGAATCCAAGTTTTTGTTTTGAATTAATACCTCTAAATTTCTGTCCACTGTAGCCCTGGTTTTAAATGGGGATTCTTGTTGTTTTTATTCTTTCAGATGACTTTGATTTGTTTTCGTTAATATCATATATCAAACTGTTATTTGCGAGCTAAATGCATTATTAGGGTGGTAACGGTGTTTCGTGCATCTGCATTATATGTAAATCTGCAGGTGTGTTTAGTAACAAAATAAGGTGTGGAAGCTACCTCCATCCCAGCTTGCGGAATGTAGGTTTTTGTAACAAATCAGAGGCCCTTGATGTGCTGAGTTCACATATTACTGGGCCTTTAAGGCCTTGACAAAATGTAGCTAGGGAACGTGGCACGTTGTGCAATGTGAGAACACAAACGCACATAAATGTGCATTAATGGAGACATGCTTGTAGTGGCGTCCATTTAAGAAGAAACTACTAGTATTCAGTCATGCCGCTCACTCAGTGCTTCCGCCCCCTCTTTCCCCTCCTCGCGCTGCTCAGGCACGAGATGGACTCCTCAGCTCGTGTGTGGACTGCAAGGGTCGAGGTCTAGACCCGGTGTAACCCACAAAGCACTGTATACTAACCGTGCACAAGTGGGTTTCCGTTTTATTTTAATCAAGTTGACGTAACGACACTTAAGATATAGCCTAGGCTAATGAATATTCGCTATATTTTCAAATTTCGTCCGCCTTACGTAGGCTACACAATTACTTGGCGGCGTAGGCTACTTTTTTTTTTATTATCATTTTAAATAATAACTACCGGGTAGTGTTTTTAATTTGAATTCCTCAGGCAGAAATCAACGCAGTTTCCAGAGATTTTATTGCGATCTAGCCCACATTTATATTTGTTTAATTAAAGACGCTGCACGTTTAAAATGTTAAATTCAAATACATGCTACGTCGTGTTTACTTTTTATTTAGATTTTTTTTCCTCGCAGGCCTACAGGTTATAAACATGTTAAGTTATTTATTTTAAAATTTTAAGGTGGGACAGCTGATGTTGACATGCAAGCCGTTTGCTTGCCATTTAATTTTTATCCACTAACCATGTGTCAGACTATGGTTCAATATGCTGAGTTTTTTGTGTAGATTATAGAAAAACTAGAATTTAAGTGTGTAATGCTCATTGTGTGTGTGCTGCACATGTGCTATATTTGCTGAATAGGACCAGGTCAGAGGTTGTGTATGTAAAGTTGGTTTGAACAGCGAACCAATGAGAGTTAAGTATAGTGAAATGCATGATGGGAGTGATCTTGCATTCTATCATGTGAGTCTCGGCTTAGGCCCTGCCCACCTTTACGTACACACACACACACACACACACACACACACACAACATAAAATTTAGGAAATGTTTGGCCCCTTAGCTCTCATATCAGTGTGTGTATCAAGGAGCTTTAGTTTGGTCAGGGTGGCAATGTGTGTACACTGTACAAGGCTGTATGTACACAAGACTTCATAAGTATTTATATGTAAATATTCACTTTTACATTTAGGCTGGATTTTTTTTTCTCCCCCTTTTAATGTAGAATTGTAATTTTGTAGCATAGTTAAAATGTTTCATACATGACATGATGATTGTGACACGTTCTTTAACCAGTCTTGTGTGTACAACATGAGCTGAGTGGGGTCTGGATGGACAACACTTTGGCCTTTTAAAAGTTTAGTTTCATATGACATCTTTTATTTTGTAGCTTCCTCTTGATTACTAGCATAGCTGTTTTCACTCAGAGCTTGCGCTGTGTGTGTGTGTGTGTGTGTGTGTGTGTGTGTGTGTGTGTGTGTGTGTGTGTGAGCATGCACATGTGTGTGTGTGGCTTGAAGGGGGGCCCCAACTGGAAAAGAGTGGGTGAAAAGTAAGCTAGCACAGATACTCTGTGTGAATTTTTTGAACCTTTGTGGAGTTTTACTTTTTTTTTAATGTATACGTTTCATTTAATAAATATTACAGTGCTGATAAATGTGCTATATACTTAATAACTATAATTGTTATAGAAAAAGCTATAAATAAGTAACAAGTTGGGAAGAAAATAAAGCTAGATATTTGGCTTTCTTTTTACTTTGGTTCAAAAAATTGCTAATGTAACAAACAAAACAAAAATACTAGTGTCAGTATATTATAGTGTCCCATACAGCATAAAACGTTCTTATTTAATGTGTGTAGGGATGGGACGGTATGAAAATTTCATATCACGATTATAGTGTCCAAAATAATCGTGATTATCAATATTATCACGGTTTTGTTAAAAATGTATGAAAGTGCTCAAAAAGAACTGATGCTCACACTGAAAACATTTCAACAAGTTTTATAATTGAAAATCAACAAACAACAAATAAAACAAGCCTCTCTATGCAGTTTTTTAGGCAAGATTCTATTCTATGGCATTTGCTTCTTTATAATGCCCGTCGTCAATAGCAACGCATTATTACACAGCGCACATCCATATCACAACGGACGCGCGCTCTTGTTTCATTCAAATACAACTTGCCGTCTTGCGTCTCCGGTTTTTGATTGTATTGCAAAAATGAAATCAGAGTTGATTTATTGTTTACAGAGTTTGATAATATTGGTGTGATATATCTTGTCTGGACGATTGTTTTACAAAATGAATTCATAAATAGGTAAGATTTAAAACATTAGCTAATCTCATTATCAATTCAATATGTCCCCGTAATTATGTGGTAAAAATAAAATCGGTTTAATACGTGATGTATCTATACTTTACTATCCCTTAAAATATCACTCTTAATAATAGTCTTGTTTGAAGTTGTTCGTTCGTCTTTGGCTCAAATCCACTTGCTACGAACTTTTCTTCGCGGAAGCTTCACGTCTATTTCAAGTGAGTGACATGAAATGTTTCAACTCAAAACAACATTTCATGCCGAATTGTTTCCCAGACGTAGTTTTGGTATTGAGGTCAAAGTTAACTTGCCTTGCGTTCGGGTGATGATCACACAAGACGACTCGGCAGATTTGAAGTGTTTCTATTGTAGTGACTTTTTGTTCGGCAGACAGGGTGACCATCCTCGATCAAGTTTCCCTCAGGACTTTTGTAAAACCCAAAATATGACCACACCTCAGATTTGGTCCTCTTAAAAGGCTGAAAAACCTCCTGAGCACGGTCACTGCCTTCCACCATTCCTTCTCGAATAGTAATTTAAAAAAATATTGCGTGCTGCGCGGCTGCGTCAGACTGGCCGACAGGATTCAGTGAGTTATTAAAATCGCGATAATCAAACACGGTTTTAGTGATAATTAAATTTTACACGATAATACTAACCGTCAGTACATTTTATCACGGTTTATAGTGAAACCGGTTATCGTCCCATCCCTAAATGTGTGTAATATGGTTGAAAACCCTTCCCTACTTTGGTATTTTAAGTCGCAATGTAGCTGCTATTTTATTTAATGTATTTGGTAGTCATTTTATTTTCTACTTGATGTTATTTTGTTAAACTTATTCATTGATGTCATTAGTTGAAATATTCTCTTTTTTCCCCAAATATTGAAGTGTCTTGATTAAGACAGAATTTTTGGTTCTTGTGATGGAGTCATGGGCTTGTGAACGATATGCAGCCATGTTTCCTGGTTCCTCCAGGAGTTTTTTTGTGTTGGGACATCTACCCCAATCCCCCTATTGTGCTATGTATGTTCTTAAACATGTACACAGAGACAGTTGTTGCCGTTGGATTTTGAAGTAAATGAAGATGCCCTCTACTTCCTTTACGTCACAACCAAACCCCCTCCCCTTTTTTCCTTTCTTGTCTGTAGGCTAACATGTTACCATGGTAACCAGACTCCACCCCCTGGGGTAGAGAGTTTGTTACCCTGAAATGGGGCACTAACCCCCCCAACAACAACACACACACACTCCCCTCTTGCTCCTATAGCTTAATCTGCTGTAGGAGAACATACCATAATGGATTCCCACTGGAATGCAGACCTGGACTGGAAAAACACGCCAATCCCACCAAATTCCTGAAAAGAAAAGGGAAGTGTTTAATTCGTATGTCAAACTTGGAATGTCATATGGCTGTACTTTCCGCTAAAGTTAGTTTTAAGTGAACGTAAAGGCTTACGAAATGGCATTTGGTTATTTTTCTTTTCTGCTTTTTAAATTTTTTTTTTTGTTATTTCACTCACCCCAGTAAATGCTATACAATTGGCCTTGCCCCCACCCCCCTGCGTATGTCTCTGTTCATTCAGTTGAGTGCTATTGTTTTCTTTTTATTCCTTTTAAATAGATTTAATTTTGGTATGATTGTATGAACTAAGTTTTTTAGATTAAAATATTGAATGGGTGTATTGCTGTTTTAGGTTATGTAATTCTGTCAGAGCTTACAGCCACAGTGAATTTTTAGTGAAGCATGGACGGCCTCTCGTGTTCTGTAGTATCACTCTCAACCCATAACATTAAGCTCAAAACAATTTATCAAACTGTTTTCTCTATAGGAGCTTTTCCCTGTTAGATGTTAGCATAAGCCCTGAACTACCTGTGGTATTTTTGCCTCACAGCTTAAAAAAAATCAAATTTGGTTTGCGCTGCCTTGGAATTTTTCACACCAAACACACGCTGGGGAAAACATGTCCTGGAATCACACAGATGTTTAATGCAAGTTATGATGCATTTTGATAATTCCTGAAATGACTCCCAGTGATTGTTTCCCTCTTGACATATTGAGCATAATACACTCTTCATGAGTGCAAATGTCCCTTACAGCATGCACAACTTCATCGCTAAGCCTCACTCTATTTAGCGTTACAAAGCTAGGATAAACAGTCTAGTTTTTTTTTTTAACATGCTTTAAATTTAAGAGTTAATGTGTCAGCGAGTATTGGCAAAACAACTAATTAAAAGGTCCAAAATTGTTGGAGTTAATGGTGGCAGTGTATGTTTAAATATTATATCCAAGCTTGTTCCAATTTGCAAAGGCATTATGGTATAAGCTTTTTTTAAGAAGATAGATGGATAGATGGATGGATGGATGGATGGATGGATGGATGGATAGATGGATGGATAGATGAATATATGGATGGATGGATAGATGGATAGATGAATATATGGATGGATGGATAGATAGATAGATGGATAGATAGATGAATATATGGATAGATAGATAGATGGATGGATGGATAGATAGATGGATGAATAGATAGATGGATGGATAGATAGTACTTTATTGTCAGTGTACACGGAAATTTGTCTTGCAATACAAGCTCCAACAATTAGAACACAAACAAGCTAAAAACAGAAACATGAAGTCATCAATAAAAAGTATAAAAGGGTACTTAAATAGTTTCTACAAAATCCTGAATCAGAAATAAATTTATTTAGATGTAATGTATTGCTGTTACTATTTGTTGCTGTACAGTCTACATAACAGGAAATGGAGAAAATATGCAAAATTTTAGTTTTTGTTTGTGAATAATCAGTCAGATTGAAATTTGCTCAAAATTCTGAACTTTTTTTGCAGCAAAGATATTGCTTTTAAAACAAGATCGTCCATCTGTTTTTTTTCCACTGTACACAAGTAATTGGAGCACAGTACTCTAAATGAATAGTCCAGCTCAACCATTGGTGTTATAAAGCCATCAGAACTGTTGATGCACACCGTTTGCTTTAAGCACCTACACGCATTGTCATTGATTACTCCATTATGGTGGGTCGGTTTCTTGTCAGTGTCCTGTAAGTCCCCTATTATTACCTACCATTTAGGCCCCAGTCTATGTACATGTGTAAAATGTGTGTGTGTGTGTGAGAGAGGGAATGTGTCTACCTGCTCAGGTAGAGGCATGTTTGTTCCCATGTCCTCTGTACATTCTGTTCTTGTTAATGTTAGTGTGTAAATACGAAAGTATACAGACCGTGAACTTTGGAACTGTGTAAACTCAAGTGGCCAGTTATAGATCTTTCACAATCGCTACACCAAAACGTACACATTATTGAAACCAATATTAAAATAAAAGTACTGGCCTTTAAAATCTATACCACCATTAAAATTGATTTTACAGTGCCGACTGACACATTTACTGGCTCTGTATAAGTCTGAGAAATGCTGTCATTTCGAAATGAATCTTAAGAAAAAGTGTAGGCCATCAATATCTTTGTGCAGTTTATTTTTGGATTGTAGCTAAGTTGTCTTGTTACTTGTACTCACAGTAATGTAAACTTTAAATACCCTGTCAGGGTTCTTGACTACTACAGGTGATCCCTTTTGTCTTCCTCAAAAGCTAACGGACGCATTCTTGACAAAATAGTTGATTCATAATTTTTTTGTAGTTTGTATTGGATTTGTTTGTAGTCTCTGACCAGTTGGTATTGTAGACAGTGTGGCGTTATGAATTTCTTAAACAAAAAACGAACAAACAAAAAAAAACCCTGCAGAGTTTAGCTCAAACACCTGCGATCTCTTTAACTCCCCCCCCCCCCTAGTGATCATGAAAACCTTGATTGGGTTTTTTGAGGTGTATTTAGTCAGGGTTGGAACTAAATTCTTCAGGCCAAGATTTGGGGAACCCTGATCTCTGGGATAATGAATCAAGCTTGTCCATTATATTAAACCACCTTTAAGTTCACCCTACATTATCAAATTATCTACATGTCAGCGTTTGTGAAACCAAGGCATGTGGCAATATGCCAAACATCTCAGACATAATTACATCTTGTATAGTCAAGTTTTAACTGACTGCTAGATATGGAAAATCAATTGCTTTTACAAGTGAAGTCTAATTAAAGTACATCTGGCTCTGGTCATGTACGTGTTAAATAACTAGTATTCTCTTGACTGGGGGTGTTTAAATCGAGATGCATGAGTCAGCAAGGTGTTCAGCCGATTCCATATAATGGGGTTGGTGTGCTTTTCTACCCATTCGAACAGGTTTACTGTCCCCTTTCTGGGGCTGTAATGTACGTGCAAACCAACTGATATGCACACTATTAAGAAGTAGTTGGACTTTCTCCATTTTCTACCCTGTATCTACTAGCTGATTACCTTCTTCACGTAGTTTCGTGAGAATGATGGGCAACCTTTCTTTATCAATGATCTTGATTTACAAACCCCATTTCAGACACTGTGGAGACTGGTTTATGTTAGATATCTTTGTTTCCTAATACAACAAATCCCAGGTTGTATTTGTTCCAGTTGATGAACTCCAGTACGTCTTTTTGCTATTCTGTTATCAATGGCTCACAAAATCACTTGCTTGCTTCCCTCTTATCCGATGAGTTACTTATGTTTGCTAATATTAGCCCTAACTGCTTCCATAATCTGCAGTTACTTGTAGCATATAGTTAGATAATTTCTCTGCGTTATGAAGGAACAGCTACTGCATGTTTGCAATACATTGGTGTTTGCAGGTCTACATATTGAAACTGAGGTCTTTAGAATTACTAAAACTCCATCTATGGGAGATTATGTAGTTTAAATAAACCTATTATTTGAACACACTCTAGCTTTAATTTTCTTTAGTGGAAACCAAAGTGGGAAGTGACAAGTATCAACTAAGAGATGGAAAATGTTTAGAAATTGACAATTACTACATTGATTTGTAGGGAATAAAAGCCTGTTTTAGAGTGCAAGTTTTTTTAATTAGTTTTATTTGTATTGTATTACAATGTCCCCCTCTTTTTTTTCTTTTTTTTTGCAGGAGCTGCAAGCTGCAGATCAGGAATATCCCTCCTCACATGCAGTGGGAGGTAAGTGAACCCCCTCCCCCCCCAGATTATTATTATTATTTTTTTCCCTCTTGAGGTGAAGGTGCTTGTATGAGGTGAGATGTTGAAGCCATACTGTGACTTGCTGGCTCGCCACCACACCTCAGCAGTTCTAGTATTTAATCCACCTGCCCTTCTGAGTAATGTCCTAGAATTTGACATTTTGGACCTTGTGTTTAAGTAATTATCCCTCTTATTTATCCTTCATATTTATCGGTTGTTTCTAACAGCTTTCTTGGTTAGTAGCCTGTTGTGTGTGTTCGTTTTAGAGGGGTGTGTGTGTGAGGTTTGAGCTTTGGGAAGCCTCATGTGATTTTAGTAGAGTTAAAAAAATGACTTTGATTTGGATCTAAAATACTTAGCATTACAATTTTCCTGATTTGTGCCGTTATCTCACAAGATGGATGGCTATTATCTTTTCTTAATTACAGTGTTGGTGCCAGTCTACAGATCTTGTAAAAGCATATGATGATCAGTAAAAAAAAAAAGAAAAAAAATCCCCTTTACACCTAGTAACCGTTATTCTTGTCTTTCACTTATCAGATCAAACTATCTGTAAAAGTGATTGCGTGTGCGGCTCAGTACACTGCTCTTTGCCCTCCTGCTTCTCATCTGAGCTTGAGACAAGATCTCACTGACCCTTTGAAACCGTGCATGACATGCTCGTTTTGTCTATCCCTCTTTCTCGGTCCATTCTTGCACATTTATTTGTCTGCATGTGAATGTAGCCTTACAGAAGTCTACAAAAGTGCTCTGATCACAGGAATCAGTTCAGATTTGAAACTGCGTTGTTTCCCCAGCTTTGGGGGGTACTGGGTAGGGGGCTTCTCAACTACTAGTTTCATTTAAATGTATTATTACAGTAGTAGGTCATTTCCTCTTTGATGTTGGATTAAATGTAATGATTTAAAGAAACATTGGAGTCGACTAACTACAATTAAACTGGCGACTCGCTGTGATTTCCTTCATAGATTTAGTCAGCCACATGGGGAGTTTTCGGTGCGTGTGGTTTCTTTTTTCTACCAGCCAACTCAATATAAGCTTTTAAAGGAGAACTCCGGCGAACAATGAACCTTCGGTCTAATAAAACATCGGTACATAGTCAACCGTTCTCTGAGATTTGTATTCATGATAATCGAATGTAAAGAGTTTTATCTCTAAAAACTGTTTAGCGTAAAATGCTAGTACTGGGGGCATTGAGTAAGTAAAAAGAAATCGCTAGTTTATACCACTAACAAGGCTCAAAATAGCCCCACACTAACACAGAAACATAATAAGGCTCCATACATACAAAACGAAGCATTAAGAACTTTGTAAGTGTACAGACCGTTTAATAAGAAGATACTTTATGAAGACAGTTCACTTCGCGTATACAGACAGGAGCCATCTTAAAAAATAGTCTCGATAAGTCAAACCACGAACGTCGTGCTGAGTGATCTGAACTCTATGAAGTTCAGCGAACTTCTGAACTGTATGAACGGCGTTCGGGGATCGACTTATCGAGACTACTTTTTAAGATGGCTTCTGCCTGTATACGCGAAGTGAATATCTTCATAAAGTATCTTCTTACAAAACGAAGCATTGAGAACTTTGTAAGGGTACAGACCGTTTGTAAGGGTACAGACCGTTTAATATGTACGGAGCCTCATTATGTTCCTGTGTGAGTGTGGGGCTATTTTGAGCCTTGTTAGTGGTATAAACTAGCGATTTCTTTTTACTTACTCAATGCCCCCATTACTAGCATTATACGCTAAACAGTTTTTAGAGATAAAACTCTTTACATTTGATTATCATAAACAAAACTCAGAGAACGATTGACTAGGTACCGATGTTTTATTAGACCGAAGGTTCATTGTTCGCCGGAGTTCTCCTTTAATAGAGCTTATGTATGTATATGTTTGTGAGCGTAAAACCTGCTAATGGTTAATAATGGATATTATTATTATTGTATAAGTGTGAATCTTCACTTGCTTCCTTAACAAATTACGGTCTGGAGAATAACGATTAGCTTATAAAATGATTCTCGGCATTTCATAATTCAGCTCTTCCCAATTCTTAACTACATTAATAACTGTACTTTTTATTTTAATGGAAATAAGAACAAATATGCAAAAAAAGAAGCAGTGGAGCTAAAACAATATAAATAAAAAGTTTATAAACAGTGCTTTACTTTTTTTCATGTACATCTATTTATCAGGAGTAAATAAGTCCGAAAGAAGCAAGTAAGACAGAAATTGAATAATCAAAAGTAAAAATTATTACTGGTAAAATTAGTAAATAAAGTCTACTGGGATTGTTGAAAAATAAAGTTGTGTAATTGAAATGATCATAAAAAATAGAGTTCGTACTCTAGGAAAAAGAAGCAGAGGTCCAGACTGAGCGAAAATATTTCATTTGTCGGCAATATTAAGTTATTATATAATAACTTCTCAATCTATATTACATATAGATACAGATATAGTCAAGCCGAAATTATTCATACCCCTGGCAAATTCTGACTTAAAGTTACCTTTATTCAAACAGCAAGTTTTTTTTCTTGATTAAAAATGACACTGGCGTCTCACAGAAGATAAGACTATGTACAAGAGGCAACATAGTGGGAAAAAATATTACTCGTCTTTAATTTACATTTGAATAAAAAGTGGCATACCTTGTGCAAACTGTCACAGTCTATAGGAAAATCCAAAGATCTATACCATTCCAAATAGTCCAAGCTTTTCTAAAGCATCCTAATTACCTTGATTCATTGGGAATAGTTGTTTTAATGAACTCAACAGGTAAAAAACAGAAGCTCTGTTGGTTTTGTTGACAGTCATGGCTAAGACAAAGGAGCTCACTGAGGACCTGCGGATGCGTATTGTGGTTGCTCACAAGTCAGGATAAGACCATATCTAAATGTTTTGGAGTTCCCGTGGCTACAATGCAAAGTATTATTAAAAATTCAAGAAAAAAAAACAGGGGTTCGTGGTCTGAAGCCAAAAGTTACACCTGTGCTGGCCAGGAGGATAGTGAGAGAGCTAAAGAATCCAAGAATCATCACCAAGGCCATCCTTATGAATCTAGGCTCTGCTGGTGGCAACATCAAGGCAGACAGTCCAATGGACACTGCGCACCGCTGGGTTGAACGGATGCAGACCAAGGAGGACACCACGTCTCCACATAAGGCACACAAAAGCCTGCTTGGCCTTTGAAAATGCTCATCTGGACAAACCAGAAGTCGTCGTCTTTGTGGCCAAACAATTAAATTTTGGTTTCATCTGACCATAAAACAATGATGTAGCCTTCATTTGGCGTATAAAAGGAGAAGTCTTCAACCCTATGAACACCATCCCCACTGTCAAACACTGTGGTGGGAACCTAATGTTTTGGGGTTGTTTTTCAGCCGGTGGACCGGGGAACCTAATCGCAGTAAACGGCACCATGAAAAAATTAGCAATGCATCAAAATTATCCACATCAGGCAGTCTGTAGGGAAACTTGGCCTCGGAGACCAGTGGACATTTCAGCACGACAGTGACCCAAAACAGACAGCAAAAGTGGTGAAGAAATAGTTGGCAGACAAAAACATTAACATTTTGCAGTGGCCCAACCAGAGTCCTGACCAATCCCATTGAGAACCTGTGGAGGGAGTAAAGCCAATTGTTCAGATGTAAATAAAAGTTGAGTAATTTTTTCCACAATGATGCCTCTTGTACATCGTCTTATCTTCTGGTAGAAGCATGTGTCATTTCTAATCAAGAAAAAACTTGTTAGTTGAATAATACTCATTTCTAGTAGTAGCTAAGTCAGAATTTGCCAAGGGTTTGAATAATTTTGTGCTTGTATATAATTATTATATTGGCCAAAAAGATTACATTCTGACAGCTTGTAAATATAAATCTATTAGATCTTTATCTATCTTGCACACTACTTGCAAAAAGTGCATATCAGTTGTAATTTTATATCTTCCAATATTTATACGAAGATATTTGGGTTCATTTTCACTACATAGAACTGCATGCCCTGATGGATCAAAGACCAATAACAGTGAATCTTCAGTAACAGTGATGGAGGATCAACAATATGGTATTGGTATTCATATTCCGAGATAAAAACATCTCAACGCACACAATAGGTCATGTGACAAGAACCAACTGAAGCGCAACCGCCCTGGCGCTTTGGAAAATGGAGAATGCGGCGCGCCCAGCGCTTTCTACGCGTTTTTAGGCGCTATATGTGAATCCGGCCTTATACTTCTACTTCGAGCTTACGCCGTAGGCTGTGTGTAGCGCGCGCACACCCTTCGGCGTACCCTGACGCATTAGAGCCAGACCGATATATCGGCAGGCCAATATTATCGGCCGATATTAGGCATTTTCCAAACTATCGGTATTGGCAGTTATAATGGCCGATAAATGAATATTTCAAAAATACAATAAAAACGGATGAAACACGCTTGAACCATGTCATGAGTGTTGGAGTTGTATAGTTTGTCCACCAGACGGCACTCTACACAGTCCCTGTTGGTAACACTCGTTGAGTTGGTCACGACTCACGAGACGTACATTGCATGAATAACAATTAAAAGAACATCCCCATCAGTTCTCTTAACTCAAATAAGCATGACAAAACTTGTAGTAACTATCATGTCCAGTTTTGCTGCCATTAAATAAGCCGAGAGTAAAGCGGAATTAGCTAGATGTGGTTACGTTACGTTTGTTACAGTGTTGTTGACTGTAGTTAACTTTTGACAATGTGACTGAAGTATTTCTTTAATAGCGCATGACAGTTATAGCAATGAGACGTACCATCTCTCCTTGGCCTGTTACATTGAAAATGTATGTTTTACAATTTGCACTACGACGTAATCAATTGCTAAATTATGGCTCATCATAGACTAGCTAACCACAAAGCTAGCTAATGCCACTATCATCAGTCTGTTCTGTTGTGACAATAAAAGAAACAAGTTTCTTTTTAAAAAAATGCATTATCATATTATTTTAG